ATTTACTTGTAATATTTAAAACAAACTGATAAATGGATTAAAGCTTAATCTGAGTATTCTAAACCTTAAATAGGCCCTGTCACCCCAAAAATAACATTTAATCTAATCTGCTTCTATATAGCTCTTTGTGTCTGAATCTTATTTTTTTTCTTTTGAAGTTTTCATTATTTTTTTTCCCTCTCCTGTATAACAATCAGGTTTAGAAAACTTGACAATAGATGGAGTTTAAAGCAAGGTTGTGTTTCAGTTACCATTTCAATTTCCACACAATCCATCAGTAAAATCTATCCCACAGAAGGGCAGACATCATGGACAGAGAAGAACAAAATGACCCAGGTATTGAGATAAGGGAAAAAAAAAGATAATATAAAGTAGGGAGTGTAATCCTAAAGATAAAAGGGTCATAAGTAAAGGGGGGGGAAAAAGGACCAGGCCACCTTAAGAACCAATCCAATGGATTGTTAAATAATTTGTTTTGTTAATGTGGAAGCTAGAGGGAGTCAGGATAATCTACTCTCCTATACATAGAAACATAGAATGTGACGGCAGATAAGAACCATTCGGCCCATCTAGTCTGCCCAATTTTCTAAATACTTTCATTAGTCCCTAGTCTTATCTTATAGTTAGGATAGCCTTATGCCTATCCTACGCATGCTTAAACTCCTTTACTGTGTTAACCTCTACCACTTCAGCTGGAAGGCCATTCCATGCATCCACTACCCTCTCAGTAAAGTAATACTTCCTGATATTATTTTTAAACCTTTGTCCCTCTAATTTAAGACTATGTCCTCTTGTTGTGGTAGTTTTTCTTCTTTAAATATAGTCTCCTCCTTTACTGTGTTGATTCCCTTTATATATTTTAAATGTTTCTATCATATCCCCCCTGTCTCGTCTTTCCTCCAAGCTATACATGTTAAGATCCTTTAACCTTTCCTGGTAAGTTTTATCCCGCAATCCATGAACCAGTTTAGTAGCCCTTCTCTGAACCCTCTCTAAGGTATCAATATCCTTCTGAAGATACGTCTCCAGTACTGTGTACAATACTCCAAGTGAGGTCTCACCAGTGTTCTGTACAATGGCATGAGCACCTCCCTCTTTCTACTGCTAATACCTCTCCCTATACAACCAAGCATTCTGCTAGCATTTCCTGCTGCTCTATTACATTGTCTGCCTACCTTTTATAGGTGAAATAATCACCCCTAAATCCTTTTCCTTAGATGTTGAGGTTAGGACTCTATCAAATATTCTGTACTCTGCCCTTGGGTTTTTACGTCCAAGATGCATTATCTTGCACTTATCCACATTAAATGTCAGTTGCCACAACTCTGACCATTTTTCTAGTTCACCTAAATCATTTGCTATTTGGCTTATCCCTCCTGGAACATCAACCCTGTTACATATCTTAGTATCATCAGCAAAAAAGACATACCTTACCATCAAGACCTTCTGCAATATCACTAATAAAAATATTAAAGAGAATGGGTCCAAGTACAGATCCCTGAGGTACCCCACTGTTGACAAGTCCAAGCTTCAATATATTCCATTAACTACAACCCTCTGTTGCCTGTCACTCAGCCACTGCCTTACCCATTCAACAATATTGGAATCCAAACTTAAAGATTGCAGTTTATTGATAATCCTTCTATGTGCAACAGTGTCAAAAGCCTTACTGAAATCTAGGTAAGCAATGTCTACTGCACCACCCTGATCTATAGTTTTAGTTACCCAATCAAAAAAATCAATAAGATTAGTCGAAAGAGATCGTCAAAATGTTTAGATCACATTAAATTCTTTGAAGACTATTGTGGCATTTCATTAGCATCGTAAAGAAAACAAATGTGGGATGTCTAGGTCTGGTTTCATTTTACAGAAATATAAAAACTTGAAAACTTTGGTAGGATTGACCTAGTAAATGCTTTAGCAGTCCATCTGATGGCAGCTGGGTACTATTCTGGCTAATACCCACCATTCAATTTACATAGAGGAAAACTGGTGGGATTTATTAGATCAATACATAAAATAGTTTTTATTTTTGTTGTAAAATAGTACTAAATAAATACCAAATTACAGTTCATGTAAAACCAAACCAGACTGAGATATCTCATGTTTGTTTGTAATGCTGATGAATTTTTCATATGTATTTGATGTGCTCTATAGGTTATGAAATTGACCTGTAAATGACAGAGGATGCAATAAATGTATTTTATCCAGCGCTATCAAATAACCTTAATTTAAACCAGTCAAACAAATGAGTAAAATGTAGCTTATTTTTCAGTTATCACAATAAAAGCATATATATATATATAAGGAATTACGGTTATAAAAAAAACAAACAAAAAACAGAACATAAATACTTAGTGCCTTCTAATTGAAATTAACATAAGTGTGTTTTAGCTGTAAGGGATACATTACAAGTGTAGATGTAAACGTGTAGAAAATGTTTTAATTTATGTGCAGAGACCTGGTATTTGGAAATTAAAGGAGCGCTATAGTGCCAGGAAAACAAACTATAGGGTTATTAGGTTCCCCCTCCCACTGGGCTGAAAGTGTTAAAACCCCTTCAGCCAATTACCTTAATACAGTGCTGGTTACATCTCCTCCCACTGCCGACGTCTGCTCCGAATGCGCATGCGCGGCAAGAGCCGTGCGTATTCAAACCGATCCTTTCCTATGGACGTCAGTGTCATCTTAGTGTTATTTTTCACACGGAGCATCGCAAAGCGGCCTCTAGTGGCTGTCAGGTAGACAGCCACTAAAGGCTGGCTTAACCCTCAATGAAAACATCAGTTTATCTGAAACTGCTATGTTTTCAGCTGCAGGGTTAAAACCAGGGGGACCTGGCACCCAGACCACTTCATTGAGCTAAAGTGGTCTGGGTGCCTATAGTGGTCCTTTAAAGTCATTATTTGAAATATTGGAATTTGGTGAATTAAATTATTCTCAGTTTAACCTGTGATGCTGAAATTACCACCCTTTGTGCATGGTTTTTGTTCAAGAATATTGAGCCTTTCCCTTCCAGCTGTTGTTGGACTACACTTCCCGTAATTCTGTACTTTTAGATTATCAGGCTAATTGTGGTACTGCAAACCTAGCCTGAATAATTTATTACGTAGATCTCAATATACCAGAAAATGGATGAGTTGATATCTACATGCAGCTGAGATAATTCTTTTAAATATAATCTATAGAGTAGCTATTTACCTGATAGAGATAGAGAGATATATATATATATATATATATATATATATATATATATATATATATATATATATATATATATATATATATATATATATAAAAAAAAATTTTTAATGTATTTTATAAAATAATATATACAGGTTTATATAATTTATCTGACAGGTAAATAACTTATTTGTTAGTAGTTACAATTTTTTGTTGCTATTACATATTATAACTAATATCACAAAAGAACGAGTAAAAATAGTGGAATTTTATTTTCAGAATGGCAGTTCCATTATTGTTTGCCCGACCTTTCAGTTTCCAATTACTTCCTGTGGGAATATCTGGGAGTGGGTGTACGTGAACAAACCATATACACTTAAGCACCTCAAAGAGACTATCTGTGCAAAAATGTGATTGCTAGAGATTCAAACAATTACTAATGTTATGAACAATGCAATCAAAAGAGCTCGACTTTGTGAGGCGGCAAATGGTGCTCATTTAAAACAGGTAATTTTATGTACCTAATAGAGACGTACTGGATACCACACTCACCAAATAACCCAGGTGATCTGAAGCCAGGGCTGGCCAGGCCTCCCTTCTAAGATATGCAGAATAAATAACAGTTCATGTACTCCGGGATAACAAAAAATAGCAGCTTTATTGGGGCAAAAGCAGCAACATTTCAACCCCACCGGGGGTTGATATAGCTTTTCTGTACCTAGTCAAACAAATCTCTCTACTCTGAATAATATCATCAGTGGAACTATTCTAAAAAATGGTAACAGTAGTACAGATCTCTCAGCAATAGAATGCTACTCATAATTAGCCAGTATCCTTACCCAGTTCTTGTACTTCTCTCCACATAAGTTTAAATATTTTCACCCAGTGCTTGTATTATTAAGCAGTCACTAAGATGAGAACTAAGCCTAGTTCACTATCATAACTTCTAGTGGCTGGAACCCCTCGGTCTGGTGGTGGACCAACTACAACTTCTACAGGAATGTATGTGAGACTTGTATGTGCTATCATTATACATCTGTATGAAATGGTATTGTTCATAAAGTGACACAAAAGTTCCAGACTGGCTAATGTAAACTTTGTGCAAAATTGATGTCTGATGCCAGCACACACAGTATTCTGGTGACAGTCAATGATTGTGTGCAGCCCATGTCCTGCCCGCAGTCCATCCTCCCTGCCCTCCCTCAATCTCCAGCAGGGGGAGTGACGTCAGGGAAGGAGGATCGGACTGAGAGAGAACCTGGAGAATATTTATTGCCTATTGCAAAATCACAACTAATGTATGTAAAGAAAATTCATGGCACAATAAATTGACATATAAACAATGAATGCAGCAGTAGTAGATTAATAATAAAATGCCATGTGTACATAAATTTGGTCCTGAACCATATATTGATTTTCCTCCAAGTTAACTGATTTGGTGCTGTCAAACTTTGCAGCAGATATAGAACAACCTTTGAATACCAATCAAAGAATACCTCCTTTTACAGAGGAATGTGTATAACAGGGTGTTTTTAACAGTGATCTCCAAGCTGCTCAATACACTTATGTGGAAGTATCCTCTATTCCACAAAACAAAATTGAAATTATTAGTGCGGTGTAAGTGATAAAAGACTTATACCAGTAAGTGAAGCGCTTTAGTACATATAGCTTACCAAATGTTTTCTCATTCAATAGTAGAATACAAAGTGCATGTCAAGAGAGAAATATAAAAGATCCAATTTAGTGCAGACTGTTTTTAAAATAAAATTATAATTGTAGTGTCTTGATAAATGGAACACTCACATTTTAGGGAGCCTGTATATAGAAACACTGGCTCCGTATTTTGGCTTGTGTGCTTTTTTTGGGGTAGCATCGCCCGTCTCCTTCGATGTGGGGTATTTCTCAAAGATAAAAATAGGAGAAGCAGACCAATGTGTAGATGGTGTTTATAAGAACACAGTATTATTAGAAATAAGTGGTGTGCTCACCTGGTCCTGAGCCTGTGGGTCCCGGCTCTAGGTATATAGGTATTGTGCCAATTTGAATGGGGATGGCACTACCCCTGGGAAGATACTCTTGAGGTTTCCAAAGAAAGGATTTAAAAGGGTCTTAAATATAAAGTAATACATTTATTCAAGTATAAAACAAAAAATAAAAACAATAATGGTAAAAAAGTCCTTAATAAAAAGTCCTTTAAAATAGCCAATACGCGTTTCACTCCTTGCTGTGGAGCTTCCTCAGTCAGCTGTGAAGCTCCACAGCAAGGAGTGAAACGCGTATTGGCTATTTTAAAGGACTTTTTATTAAGGACTTTTTTACCATTATTGTTTTTATTTTTTGTTTTATACTTGAATAAATGTATTACTTTATATTTAAGACCCTTTTAAATCCTTTCTTTGGAAACCTCAAGAGTATCTTCCCAGGGGTAGTGCCATCCCCATTCAAATTGGCACAATACCTATATACCTAGAGCCGGGACCCACAGGCTCAGGACCAGGTGAGCACACCACTTATTTCTAATAATACTGTGCTCTTATAAACACCATCTACACATTGGTCTGCTTCTCCTATTTTTATCTTTGAGAAATACCCCACATCGAAGGAGACTGGCGGTGCTACCCCAAAAAAAGCACACAAGCCAAAATACAGAGCCAGTGTTTCTATATACAGGCTCCCTAAAATGTGAGTGTTCCATTTATCAAGACACTACCATTATAATTTTATTTTAAAAACCGTCTGCACTATATTGGATCTTTTATATTTCTCTCTTGACATGCACTTTGTATTCTACTATTGAATGAGAAAACATTTGGTAAGCTATATGTACTAAAGCGCTTCACTTACTGGTATAAGTCTTTTATCACTTACACCGCACTAATAGAACAACCTTTAATCGGACCCTTTTTAATACAATATCCAAATGTTCCATTATGGTTATGTGACCCATGTACTTATTTGATTGTCAATTTCATTGCCACCAAATCACAAAGTGTTTTCATGCTTTTGCAAATTCACAGGATGAATTAGTCAACTTTTAGTCTTTCTGTTCTTGTAAAACCACCAAACATTAATATTAATGTTCTTGCTCAGCCACCGAGATGTCTGATGAGGAAATCAAAGAGAAAACGTTGCATACCGCAGCAGCTTATTTGGAAGGGAAGGCGCCGGTGGATAAAGCAGCCATTCTTCACCAGCACATTGGAAGGAGGGAAATGACAGATATGATCATAGAAACTATCGGTCCCAGCTCAGGTAAGAATCCTCTCCTACTGATGGTAGGTCATGAATGTCTTCTTACAAAACCGTGTCCTTGGAGAAACGAAGCTGTGTAGACCATTTTAAGCTGTCATAAAGAATAAAATATGAGCTTGTACAAGTATTAGTGTCATTCTGCCATCCAGCAGCCTACACAGAATGGAATGTCAGCAGTATCCCTAGTAATTTCTTTGTAGAAAAATATAAATCTTAATTTTCTCCTGAATTGACAATACCCTGCATTTTAGTGTATTGTCCTTTGCAAGTGATTGTGCATTTTATGCAGATTTATAAATTGGTTTTATTTCAGTTTCTTTAGGGAGGGCAACATAAAAACACAACCATTTCGGTAGATTATATTCTGAACCAGAGTCAGATGATGAAGTTGAAATGTCTTCGATTATGGACATTCTTTATAAACATATGTGCTAGATATTAAAGGGTTACGCCAACATCTGCACATCCAGAGATATCTGCACTTGTCTGCCGGAGGCTAGTTACACCAGCAGCACATGGGACTCTGGCAGCTGTGAATTCTGCTCTGGGCTTGCTAAATGTCAATTCTGGGCATATTTTATGTCTATCGTCAGTGCGCTCTGCACACTGGTGACAGACATTTTCTGATTTTCTCTTGTAGACAGAGCCTGCAAGCTTGTGTCTCCCCTCACTCCTTCATCGCAGCTCTCCCACCTCACGATCCCATAAGTTTAAAGTTCCTTTGCTGTCTCCTTCCCACTCCCTCTTACCTTCCCGGCTCAGAGCCCGTGCATGTACTTTGAGCCTGCTAAACAGTCCAATCAAAGGCTTCTCTATGAGAGTCCTTTGATTGCACTTCGCCATGGCTGCCGTGACCTCAGGTGAGAGTGTACTGAGCAACACCAGGAGCTTCGCCTTGCGCTTGACTTCAGTGAGCTAAACTTTCTTTTTATACTTTTTTCATTGTTTGGGGGAACACGGCACCTAAAGAATAATGCCCAATATGGAATTATTTGTTTTCTTAGAAAAAAATGTGTGTATGTATGTAAGAAGGGTTAGAGTAACCCTTGAGGTTTCCTTGATTTTAAATGGACACTCCAGGCTGGACAGAGCCCTTTTTAAAATTATTATTTTTTTTTTTTAACTGCTTTATGACGATATTGCATTAAAATAGAAACAAAATAAACTCACTCTTAAAGTTCCTGCAATTGTTGTTTTTTCAACTTTTGCAGTGAACTCTGTCCAAGTGGTGCTTATGCAATTTCTCATTAAGCTGTAAAGGAGCGTGTCATTGGAGGTGGATATTTGTATATCACTTGCATTGTACTAATATTAAATAAATAAAACCTTCCTTGTTGGTGTGTATTTTCTGCTAGATCCACCGGTGACTGCTTCTTCTGAGAAACTCGATTCTATGGAAGCATCTAATAAGCCTCCCCCTGACTCTCCATCCAAGCATCTGCCAGATCAGATCACTTTCTTCAGTGGAAACCCATCAGTAGAAATAGTTCATGGAATTATGCACCTCTACAAAACAAAGTAAGTGCCCAGTTATGCATGTGTATGGTGGGTGTGTATATTGTGTTTTGGTGCAAACAAACAATGCAACTAGTTTTGTAGTGTTTTATTATATGCAGAAGAAATGGCACTATTCTGAGGTTATTTATAAAGCCCTGAATTATTATAAGTATTTTTGTTGAAAAAAATAAATTCTTGGCACCGGTTATTTAATTTGTATTTAAAGTGGTCAGAATTTCACAAACCCATCTCTAAATTATCTCAGATTTTCTCCATATCGGCTATGGTCTATATCAGGGGTCCTCAAACTCCGGCCCCCCAGATGTTGCTGAACTACAACTCCCATGATTCTCTGGCTATCTATGTAATTCAAACAATCATGGGAGTTGTAGTTCAGCAACATCTGGAGGGCCGGAGTTTGTGGACCCCTGGTCTATATTGTCATTAAAGAAACACTGTAGAGTCAGGAGCACAAACATGTATTCCTTTCCCTTTAGTGTTAAAAACAACCTTTACCCCATAGAAAAAAATATAATGGGCTGTTGTTGTTCTAGTGACAATAGTGGCCCTTTAAGAACACCTTCAGTTGGACTGCGTAGAATTGTAGTCCCCAGCAGTAACTAAAATAAAAAGTAAGGTCAGCTAATTGGTTAAAGAAATTATTAACTAGAATTCATCAGGCTTTAATTGCACATCCTTCATATGATGGGAGCACAGTTAAGGTGAAGTGATCTGCTCATGGTGCGAAAGGTACCCCATGATTAATAGGGCTATCAGGGATTACCATTCATATTATGCATTTATTTTCTTTAACATCTTGCCAAGTTTATTTTTTTTTTTAACTGCATAAAACAGGCAAAGTGAATTAATTAAAACTACCTTTGAATAGTCACAAATGGTTTGGTTTGGCGTGCGTTGGAGGTTTATATGAAAGTTTAAATCTAAGATACAAGTTGTTAATGTGTTCGTATTTTGTGTTTTTTTAAAAAAAAAAAAAAAATATGTAGATCTTGGGATGAGGACTATAACAGTACTTTTCAAAGAGAAATCTCAATTTTAGGTAAACAAAAATACTGAATGTATAGCTGACTTGAAGAAATCTCCAGATTTATTCCAGGTTACTTTGGCCTAAAAGGTGAAAATCACTTTGAAATCCAAACAATCCACTAACCTTTTTATTTTCACGTGTGAATATGAATGTGAGGTCGTTGTGTTAGTGAATAAGAATGTGGCTGGTATTTTCATGTGAAGGTTAATGGTGAATTGAGGCTGGATAGGATAGCTCAGGGGTGCCCAAAAGGTAGATCACCAGATGTTGTAGAACTACAATTCCCATGATGCTTTACATGGCTTTAGTATAACAAAGCATCATGGAAACTGTGGTTTTAAAACATCTGGGGATCTACCTTTTGGGAACCCCTGGGTTAGGTAAGGGTTGCACATGCCCAATCTGACACTAAAAGGATACTCTAAACATCATAATCATTACAGCCCACTGTAGTGATTATGGTACCTGCATGCCCCTTGTTTGCCATTCCCTGTGGTTCACTGTGAGACGGTTTTCTTTTTTGTGTGCTACTGTGTTTTGTTAAATTTTTACATTTTTTTTTCTTCAATGTTTCTATAAACCCATATAGCTTTGTTACTTTGCAACTTGATTTATTTTTTATGACACAGCCTAGTGGAAATATTCTAACCAGTCAACTAAGTGTTTCCATTTTATATATCTCTCTCCCCTAGTAAAATGACATCACTGAAAGAAGACGTAGGACGTAGTGCCATGCTCTGTATACTCACTGTTCCTTCTACAATGACAAGTCATGATCTCATGAAATTTGTAGCTTCTTTTAATGAGGTCATCGAGCACATGAAAATCATCCGTGATTCCACTCCAAATCAGTACATGGTCCTGATAAAATTCAGCTGTCAGGTAATAGGAAAATATAGCTGCATCATAGTAACCAAACTATGGGCTCGATTTAATATTGTTGAATAAGCTTTCTAAATGATTTCATATTTTTATATACATTTTTAAAATAATTTTTTTCAAGGTATTAAATTATCAAAAAAAAGATATCACGTTAAACTATCATATAAAAATATTGCAACATTTTAAATAATAGTCAACCTGATGGGGAAAAAAAAATCATAGTTACGTGATTGCCTGTGGAGTGAGCTGCACGCTATGCTGCCAGTAAACATGTATATTCCATATGCTTTACGTGTTTTGTTTCTGATTCCCACTACAAGTCTGTTCAATGATTCTGCTGCACTAGTGTATTCTCTGATCACAGAATTGTGTATGCATAGCACATAATTTAACTGGAACATCCATTTTGCACTTGTAATCATCCCTTCACGTGTTTTTAAAAAAAGGATGTTCTTTGCTTGTCACTGTTCTGTCTCAACCATGAAATGAAAACAAACCAGCACAACAATGGGTGAATCTATTGGAACATTGTGAGTGGGCTGGGTGACAGTCATGTGATCTCCGTGATTGAACACAGGCCAGTGTGCATATCAGCTCTACTAGCAGTGGGGTGTTGTGCTTTATCATAGGCTTTTTTCAACTGTTAGGTTTTGTGCTACTCTCACTTTTATAAAAGGGATTATTTACTTATTTATCTTTATACCCGAATCCCAGGCTGATGCTGATAGTTTCTACATGGCAAGTAATGGGCGCCAGTTTAACTCCATTGAAGATGATGTCTGCCAGTTGGTTTATGTGGAACGGGCCGAGGTGTTCAAGTCTGATGATGTAAGTGGTTTATGTATACTGTCCTCTACTAGTCTATCTTGACACTCATTGTCATTCTATGCCTGTTAAACTGTAAGGTTCAGTAATTAAAGCTATACAGATGATCAATTTGTAAACATTTTATATTTTTCTTGTTTATGATTAAACTAATATAAAGTAGAAGGTGGGGCTTGAATTCTTTGTAGACCACTACAGTTAACAGGATTTTGTTTGATACACTGTTGGAGGCAATATATAAAATAAATTCTGAATTTCTGCAACTTAAAACCCAAGTGGCAGGTTAAAATAGCAGACCTGGAAAAATTCTCAAACTGTGCTATAGTCACTTCTTCTTTTTGCCATTTTGATTTTCAGTTCACTAAAATAAATACCCGATGGAACTATATTATAATGAATTTTATACTTTTTGCATTTAGTATGAGGATATTAGAAAACTGAATAAAGTAGTGAAATAAGATTTCTATATTATTATATATTTTTACTATATTATTGTTTTGTGTTTGTTTTTTTTATGCTTATAGTGGTAAGTAAAACTTTCTGGGCATTCTAGATGCATTAACAATGATAGTTTAAATATTGGGTTTGAGATTTAGGACTTTATTTAGAATGGCTCTGATTTTATTTTCTATATATTTATGTAGAATAGATGTGTTTTTGGATGTTTTTGAGATAGTCTTACAGAGTTATCAACTAAAGTGTGACTTGTCGGGAATTTAAAATGTTATATCACAAATAGCTGAAATAAGAAAAATGCAAAGTCAAGTATGTTTTCAGTTTTAACTACAATTGGTTTAGGATTTCACTAAATACTGAATCCCAGTGCATTGAGCATCATTTTGCAATACCCAAACTGTGACTATAGTTGGATTGGATAATGTTTTTCTAGCTTGGCACATTTTTCAATTCACTACAGTTTCTTATTGATTGAATTAACCCATGTGAATCCCCAATAGCTGTCACACACTAGTAACTAACAATGGTCTGCTCCTTTATCCTTCGTCTGTTTAAAATTAAATGAAATCCATTTTTTCTTTTTCTTTCTTGCTATTAAATAAAGTGTGTACCTGAGGGAGAACATGACCTTATGAAACATGTCATTTACCATTTGCTAAATACCTCATTTATTATATCTACTTTCCCCACTGTTAAACATCCCAAATTGTGAAAAATGTGGCTCCTTGTGACCGTATAACTACCAAAAATAGAATGAAATCCTAGACATATGTGTTTCATACATCATGATTAAGTTTTTTGTTTTTTTTCTTTTCTTCTGTTAAATTCCGTGCACCTTGTTATAAGCAAAACACAATATTCTAAATCAAGATATATATAAAAAAATGTTCTTTTCATAATCAAATAACAGCCCCACCTGTCTTTTAAAATACAATATATAGTATGTGGGTGCACTGAATAAGAAAGTGGGAAGTGATGGTTGAACTAGACAAAAAAAAATGACAAAATTCTGTGGTTCCAAAAGGCCATTACTGTGATAAGTGTCATTAAATGCACATATAGTTTTGAGTAATATCCTGCCTCTGATCAGATGTTTGAACTTTTGCTACATTGTAAGTTTTTTTTTTTTGTAGGGCGCTAGCCTGCCAGTGATGGATCTTACTGAGCTTCCCAAGTGCACTGTTTGCCTTGAGCGGATGGATGAATCCGTAAATGGGATTCTGACAACACTTTGCAACCACAGTTTTCACAGTCAGTGTCTGCAGCGATGGGAGGACACAACGTAGGTGCTTTGTTGGCTATTAATTAATGCCTTACTTACTAACTGAATTGTCTCACATGTAAATGCATGTGCCTTAGTGGATTATTATTACTTGCTTATCTCAATGTAAGTTACTTTTCATGCTATGTGTAAACAGCAGGAACCTCCTCAAATACACAATGAAACATCAAGTCCCAGTCATTTATGTGTATAGTTCTTCAAAAGCCATTTATTTAGGTGATCTGTTTGCTTGTTTTTTGTTTGTTTTTCTTTACTCTTATGGAATAGCCTGCCTACCACCATCAGATTCTCCCCTTGTCTTCAATCGTTTAAGAAATGCCTTTAAACACCTCTATTTAGGAAAGCTTACCGCCTCCCAGTGTAACCTCTACCTCACATACCTGTCTCTTGCTCTCTCCTAAAGGGCAGCACTCTACTCTCTCCTCCAGTTCTGCTTCGCTCTCACCTTGTTTGATTGCTATTTCCTGTTGGATTGTGTTTTATACACCAACTCCTATAAACTGTAAGCTTGTAATATTGTAAAGCGCTACGGAATCTGTTGTCAATAATAATACTCTTACTAAATAAACTATTTTATCTACAGGATGTGCCTTGTACTACAATGAAAATCCAGGATTATGCAGACTTAATTTCTGTGATTTTTCATTGTATTTTTTATTACACAAAGAACTCCCTGGTTAAGCAATTAGCTGGATAGCTTGTAGAGCGGTAATAATCAGCTCCGCGATTTAGAAAAAAAAGTTTCTTGCGCACTAACTCAAATCCCTATGCACATTTAAATAACTGGAGGTGTCTAGTATTACTCCAATGGTAATTCAAGTGTAAGGTCACCTGCCACGTCAAGGCAAAACGTAAAATCCTTTAAAGGACCACTATAGTGCCAGGAAAACATACTGGTTTTCCCGGCTCTATAGGGTCCTTGGGTCCCCCTCACCCTCTGGGTCCCCCTCCCGCCGGGCTCCAGGGTGAGGAAGGGGTTTGGCGCTGGGGAATCTCCTCCTTCTTCTGTCGTCATCGGCTGAATGCTCATGCGCGGCAAGAGCCGCGCGCGCATTCAGCCAGTCTCATAGGAAAGCATTCTCAATGCCTTCGTATGGACGCTGGCATCTTCTCACTGTGAAAATCACAATGAGAAGTGCCTCTAGCGGCAGTCAATGAGACAGCCACTAGAGGCTGGATTAACCCATTTGTAAACATAGCAGTTTCTCTGGACTGCTGTGTTTTACAGCAGGCAGGGTTAATCCTAGATGGACCTGGCACCCAGACCACTTCATTAAGCTGAAGTGATCTGGGTGCCTATAAAGTGGTGTATTTCTAAAGCTGTACACACCTTTTAACCCTTAATAGGAAACACATGAGGTGGGCAGCAGCATTTTTACATGGTTACCTTAACAGGGCAGGTGAGTGTACTTTTGAATGGCTATTGGGGTGATACTAAGAACCTCCTGTTATTTAAATGTGCATACGGCTTTGGGATAGTGCAGAAGTAACTTTTTTTCTTAGTTTTTTTTTTGGAATTGGGGGGGGGGCTGATGTGTACTATAGTCATTGCTGCTGCCCAGGAGTGTAGTGGGAGTACGAGCACAGGACTTAATTTTCTGTTTTTGTATTTGCTCCACAATTACCCTAAAGGAAACAGTGTCTGTAACTGGATTATCATTCATTCATCCATAAATGAAGATCGATGCAGCCTACCTTTGTTCCATAGTTTTTATGTTTCATGCTAATGAAATATAATATTTCAAAAAATGTTGTTCACCTCTTAAATAGTCTTACCACCGGATGCTTATTTCAGCCTATTTTTAAAACATATTCTACATTTTATGCCGGTTAGACAGTGGCCTAATGCATTATCAGTAGAATCTGTTCAGCCCTTGGGTTGCAGGTTCGAATCCCGGCAGGGTTGACTCAGCCTTTCATCCTTCCGAAGTAGATAAAATTAGTACCATTAAATTGGGTAATTGTAACAACCCTTGGATGTTAGGCTAAGGTAACATCCCCAGGACGTACTTGAAAACCAGAGTAATCTGAATGTACCTTTCCTGGTTAAATACTTTTTTTATTATTATTATTATTTTGAGTCCATCCAAATTACTGTGATATATAAAGTATCCCTCTCTTTTATTACAGGTGTCCAGTGTGTCGATACTGCCAAACGCCTGAGCCAGTGGAGGAAAACAAGTGCTTTGAATGTGGTGTGCAGGAAGTAAGTTGGTATTTTAAATCCTAGAACAAGAAACATATAAAACTTCAACAACACAGTTTAACCTACATTGATTCAATTGCTGGGACACTCTTTAGATTGATAACTTTTGTCCGTTGCAAAAAAAAGCCTGGTCAATTTAATTAGCACATTTGGCATCTGCCACAATCTGTCTATCCAATTTTTCTTTAAAGGACCACTATAGTGCCAGGAAAACATAGTCGTTTTCCTGGCACTATAGTGCCCTGAGGGTGCCCCCACCCTCAGGGTCCCCCTCCCATCCGGCTCTGGAAGGGGGAAAAGGGTTAAATCTTACCTTTTTCCAGCGCTGGGCGGAGTGCTCTCCTCCTCCGATCCTCCTTCTCTCCTCCCCGTCGGCTGAATGCGCATGCGCGGCAAGAGCTGCGCGCGCATTCAGCCGGTCACATAGGAAAGCATTCATAATGCTTTCCTATGGACGCTGGCGTGCTCTCACTGTGAAAATCACAGTGAGAAGCACGCAAGCGCCTCTAGCGGCTGTCAATGAGACAGCCGCTAGAGGAAATAGGGGAAGGCTTAACCCATTCATAAAACATAGCAGTTTCTCTGAAACTGCTATGTTTATGAAAAAATGGGTTAACCCTAGCTGGACCTGGCACCCAGACCACTTCATTAAGCTGAAGTGGTCTGGGTGCCTAGAGTGGTCCTTTAAGAGAAAGGACTGTTTCCAGTGGCTCTCATAGAAAAACACTGGACACACTCCCAACTTTAGCACACTTTACATGCTGATACTGGGTATACAATAGGTTTAATAGTGTGATTGCAAAATGTAAACTGTATAGGTACTTAGACTGCCTCTTTGACACCGACAACCCAGAACTCTTGTTCTGGCTGCCTGACTCATGTGGTTAGAGCCTCAGTGGATTTACAAAGCAAGGCAGTTCTAAGCCAGGGTAAGTGTGCTTATGTTAGTATAGTGGTTTTATGTAATTTCTGAAGTTTGTGTTTTAGTAACAGTTTTTTGTCCTATTTCACCGCAGAACCTCTGGATTTGTTTAATCTGTGGCCACATTGGATGCGGCAGATATGTTAGCAGACATGCCTATAAACACTTTGAAGAGACACAGCATACCTATGCCATGCAGCTGACAAATCACAGGGTGTGGGACTATGCAGGAGGTAAGCAAGTCTTCTCTCTTTCTCTCTCTATATCTATCTGTGTATATATATATATATATATCTATATATATCTATATCTATATCTATATATCTATATCTATATATCATATTTTTGTATGTATAGGTTAAAGATGTTGGGCAGTAATTGTGAGAGGGGTTAACTGGCCTTTATAACAGTCTGCAGCACATAACTTGGAACCCGCAGGCAAGTTGGTCAAACTTGCATCACTTCTGAGTCATGTCTAGCGTAAACAATGGTTGCTAGCAGGATGGTAAATCACGAAGTCCTTCCTGAATTTTCTTTCTAATTTAGAATCTGTGCCCGCGAGTTGTTTATGTCCGTGACTTCACACCGCTACGGTCACTATCCACCATGTATTAAGGGTCCATTTTTAGTGCTGTCCCTGCTGTTTGGCACAATCAGCGTTTTCTATAGAATTTGCCATTCAGTTATTTGTTCGGCACCAATTGCCCCATGTTCCGTTTATAACGGCAAATGTATAGAAATAGCACTCGTTGTGAACCTACTGATTGGTTTATTTGGAAAGGAACTCGGTTGCAGTGGAACGGCAACCCCTTGCAAACACAACCTCCCCAGGTGCTTGAGCTTGGTACAGGAACTTGGACAATATATGAGGAGAGTGGTGCCTTTTATTTACAGAGTGAAGAGGCCAGAAAGGAGCAGATAGGAAGCAGACTTAGGGCGGTATGTTAGTCAGGGCTGGCAGCAAAGGAACTAGATCAAGAGTCAAGCCAAAGGTCAGAAGCCAGGAGATCTATGAAATACAGAGCTGGATATCAGAAGATAAGTGTCGGAGACAAGAAGCATGGTCAGGGTCAAAGCCAAAAGCTAAGAAGTATTACTGGAAACCAGGAACACGTACCAGGACAGGTCACATGCTCATGTAAATAATGGTCACCGAGCTTTTCTCACTTATTAATTTTGAGCTTCCTCTTTTACAGAGGTCACACGCTCATAAAATTTGGTATCTTAATCCAAGCTTCTTCTTGAAGAGGTAATATGCTCTTGAAATTGGTAGTAGTTATTGAGCCTTCTCTATCACGGTGGTCACACACTCATCATATTGGTATTTTTTTTGTTTTGTTCCTGAGCTTCCTCTTTCATGGAGGTCACACGCTTGTCAAATTCCTATTGGTTACTAGATTTCTTCTTTCACAGAGGTTACACGCACATCAAATTGGTGTTGGCTCTTGAGCCTCCTTTATCACAGTGGACAGATGCTCATCAAATTGCTATGCATAGTGAACCCCCTCTTTTGAAGAGATCACGTGGTCGTCTACTGAGCTCCCTCTTTCACCAAGTCACGTGCTTGTCAAATTAGTATATTTCTGAGCTTCCTCTTTCACACAGGACATTCTCTTCTGTTGGGTTTCTATTGCTGAGCATCTCTACACAAAAGTTTCGAGTTCATCAGTGATTGCATTTGTTACCAAGCTTCCTCTTGCGCAGAGGTCACATACTCATTGATAATTTGGTACTAAAATCCCTTTTTGCATCTAAAGTCAAACGATCACTAGTAACTGTTATTTGATCGCTAAGCTCCTGCCTGTTACAGGGGTCACACGTTCCTCAATTTTGGTAGTGTTAAAATTATTGAGCTTTAATTTTCCTTCTTTTGACACTTGCATTTACACTTATTTACACTTTATTGCACCATCAATATTTTCTCACCTCACTTCAAGTTCTTACCCTACCCTGCACACTTGGTTTTCATTCCTCCCAATCAAAACTTCCCTACTTGTATTATAAAGTCCATGGGTCACTGGAAGTCAGTGTTTATGCAAAATATTCCTCCACCCACGCAAGAAACTCTTGCAGTCTGTAATTTTTTTGTTATTGTATATTTTTTAAGCATAATATCTCTTTCAATCTTTTGCCCTCCTTATTTACAGCACTAACTTGACTGTTTGTTCCGGCACACCTCAACTGACTTTGCCCCAGGCAGCTGGGACAATCACGGCTTCGGTCCCAGACCACAAATATATATTATAGTGTGTGTCAAATAATTAAGACACAAACTGCACAATTCTTGTTTTTATTTGACTGTCACAATAAAAGTGCACTGTATAGAATCCTGGGCACACAAATATTAACCCCTAAATAACCAAGGTTATAACGCTTACAAACATTTATTTTTACACACTTTAGACATACCACTGTCAGATTATGTCACTGCTGCTATATAGATTATATGTAAGGTTTTGAATTCTGCTAAATAAATTAAAAGGAGCACTGCCTATATGTTAGTAATTCGGAAAGCTATATCATAGATTTCAAAATACTTTTCTGTTATAGATGTTTGTTTGCTATATGAATGTTCATGCACACTTTGATTTTAGGTTTTGGGTACATTTTTAGGTTACTATTTTATGAACTCTCTCTAAAGCAAATTTAAAATAAAAAAAGAATACCGGTAATAATTTGGGGAATCCAAACGCCTAGGTTGGAGCCTCTCCAAAATTAATTATATTGATCTTAAAATGTCCTGACACATTGCTGCAGACTAGTTTGGAATTGCTCTGGAATAAACACTAAAGGTTAGATCTGTATATGCATGATCTAAATTACTATTGATCCAGAAATGTTATTTGTAAATTACTGATTTCTGCTACGGTTTTCCTCATTGCTTTTTTTTTCTTCTCTCTTCTATTTGTTTTTTGTTTGGTTTTGGTTTTATACACCTTCAGATAATTATGTTCACCGGTTGGTTGCAAGCAAAACAGATGGAAAAATTGTTCAATATGAATGTGAGGGAGACATGTGTCAGGAGGAAAAGGTGGATTCTTTGCAGTTAGAGGTAAGAAATCATTGGCTTATAAGGAAATAGTGGATTTCTTGAGTGCTCGCAATTGTCTTGGGAAGTATTGTTTTAGTGTGGTATCTTTCACGTACTATCTTATTTGCTTGTTTCTTTTATTAGAGTGTTGGAGGTATACTAATCACCCACCTTACATTTCCACAGCAATGATCGTGAACCAGGCTGCCACCACCACATGCAGGGGGTTTGGAGTTTATTTTTGTCTATTTTTTGTTTTGTTTTTTTTCCTCTTTGTGATTGTGGATGAGGTACTACTTCTCATTTAATTTATCAATGACAGATATCTTTATTTCATAAGTAGCGATCTATCAGTCTGGTAATTTAGAAAGCGGGAAAATAATTATTTGACCAGTAGTTACATAGTTACATAGCTGAAAAGAGACTTGCGTCCATCAAGTTCAGCCTTCCTCACATATGTTTTTGCTGTTGATCCAAAAGAAGGCAAAAAACCCAGTCTGAAGCGCTTCCAATTTTGAAACAAACTAGGAAAAATTCCTTCTTGACCCCAAAATAGCAGTCAGATGTTTCCTTGGATCAAGCAGCTATTACCCCACCAATTATAAATTATATCCCTGTATGTTATGTTTTTGCAAGTATTTATCCAATTGCAGTATAAACATCTGTATAGACTCTGACAAAACCACCTCTTGAGGCAAAGAATTCCAAATCCTTATTGCTCTCACTGTAAAAAAACCTTTTCTTTGCCTTCGATAAAATCTTCTTTCTTCCAGCCTAAATGTGTGACCTTGTGTCCTATGTAGAGCCCTGTTTACGAATAGATTTCCAGATAATGGTTTGTACTGGCCACGAATATATTTGTATAATGTTATTATATCCCCTCTCAGGCGCCGTTTTTCCAAACTAAAGAAATTTACATTTTTTTAAACCTTTCTTCATAACTAAAATGATCCATTCATTTTATCAATTTTGTAGCTCGTCTCTGCACTTTTTCTAGTGTCATGATATCCTTCTTTAGAACAGGTGCCCAAAATTGCACAGCATATTCAAGGTGTGGTCTTACCAGCGATTTATAAAGAGGCAAAATTATATTTTCATCCTGAGAATTTATGCCCCTATTTATACATAACAAAACCTTACTGGCCTTAGCAACGGCAGATTGACATTGCAAATTGCTGCCTAATTTGTTGTCTATAACAATTCCCAAATCCTTCTCGTGTGTGGTTATCCCTAGTTCACTACCATTTAGGATGTAAATTGCTTGTGCATTCTTAACCCCGAAGTGCATAACTGCATTTCTCTACGTTAAATTTCATCTGCCATTTTAATGCCCTGTCCCCCAATCTATCCAAATCCCTCTGCAGCAAGACAATATCCTGCTCACATTTTATTACTTTACAAAGTTTTTTTTGTCATCTGCAAACACTGATACATGGCTTTTAATGCCCATTTCAAGATCATTTATAAATATGTTAAATCGAAGCGGTCCCAAAACAGAACCCTGAGGGACACCGCTTACCACTTTTGTCCAGCTTGAAAATTTACCATTAATGCCAACTCGTTGTACTCTATCCTTAAGCCAATGTTCTACCCAAGAACAAGTTTATTCATCTAGACCAATTTCTTTTAGTTTGAAGACTAACCTATTGTGAGGAACCATATCAAATGCCTTGGCAAAATCCAAGTAGATCTCATACACTGCAACACCCTGATCTATACTACTACTTACTTCTTCGTAGAATGCAATTAGGTTAGTTTGACATGACCTATGTTTCATAAAACCATGCTGATTATTGCTAATAACACAGTTCTTCCCAATGAATTCCTGAATATTATCCCTTAATAGCCGTTCAAATAATTTCCCAGTCACAGAAGTTAAGCTCCCAGGTCTATAATTTCCAGGCACGGATTTTGAACCCTTTTTAAATATAGGAACAACATCTGTCTTCCTCCAATCCTCCGGTACAATACTTGAAACAAAAGAATCTTGAAAAATTAAATACAGAGGTTCACTTATTTCCCCACTTAGCTCCTTAAGTACTCCTGGGTGGATACCGTCAGGCCCCGGAGCTTTATTTACATTAATTTTCTTTAATAGCTGTAGCACCTTGTCTCGAGTTATCCAATCACAAGTTATCTGCAAGTTTGTTGCAACAATCATTTGCTTATCTCTTGCCATAGGATCCTCATTAATATATACTGAAGAAAAATAGTTATTTAAAATTTCTGCCTTTTCGTGGTCTTCATTAACTAACAGACCCATCTCTGTTTTCAGTGTACCTACACTTTCATTTTTGTTTTTTTTTAGAATTGATGTACTTGAAAAAATTTTGGGGGTTGGTTTTGCATTCTTTGGCTATCAATTTCTCATTTTCTAGTTTAGCCACTTTAATTGCTTTTTTTGCAATTATTATTGGCTTCCTTATATCTTTTATATAGGATGCCTCTGATTTGTCAGATTTAAATGCTTTAAATGCCTTTTTCTTATTTTTAATCTCTTGTTTTACTTCTCTACTAAGCCACATTGGTTTTAATTTGTTTCTTTTATATTTATTACCCAATGGTACATACTGTGAAATGTACCTTTCTAATATTTGTTTGAATGGTTTCAATTTTTCCCCAGTGTTTTTATCACTAAGGAGTTTATGCCAGTAGATGTTGTAGAGCTGCCCTAATCGTATTTAAAATTGTTTTTTTTTAAATTATACGTTTTAATATACCCCATATGCTTTGGCTTTTTTGAGTTTATTTCAAATGTTACCATATTGTGATCACTATTTCCAAAATGCTCCCCTACTTGAACGTTGGTTAAAAGATCAACATTGTTTGTTATAACGAGATCCAGACAAGCATCCTTTCTAGTGTGTGCTTGTACCAGTTGTGACATAAAGGTGTCCTTTAACACATTCAAAAAACGGATTCCGTTTGCTGAAGTACTAGTCCCTCTATCCCAATTTATGTCCCGGTAATTAAAATCTCCAATAATTAACATGTTACCCCGATTTGCAGCTTTCCCAGTTTGCTCTAACAGCAGTTCTTCCTCATTAATATTTACATTTGGTGGTTTATAACATATCCCAACCAATAACTGATTTCCCTTTGTTTGCCCCAAGCAGATATCTACCCATAAAGCTTCCACATTTTCCTCATCACACTCCACGTGCCTAAGATTTGACTTTAACTCATGGCTGACATACAAACATACCCCACCACCCTTCTTCCTAATCCTATCCTATCCTTCCTAAATAACGTGTACCCATTTAATGCCCAGTCATGTGTCTCATCCCACCATGTTTCAGTTATGCCTATTATGTCATATTGTTTAGTGTATGCTATTGCCTCTAGTTTCCTCCATTTTGTTATATAGGCTCCTTGCATTAGTAAGCAAGGGTCCAGCAAAATCATTTGGATATCTTAAAGATTTTTGTTCACTCACTTGTGTTCATGTGGTTAACCAAACACCTTTTAGTTATCACAGAGGAACGGTTATCTTTCTTGTGAAAGCGGTTTCTGTTTGCACCACAGGGAACTCTGTAATATGCAATAATGTGAATCCTAACTGAGGAGGGTAAAAAGAGAACAGCACAACTAATAGCTATTTTTTGTTATTGAATGTGACATCCTCTTTAAGTCATCTTAGTTAATAGTAAATTAGAGATAAATAATTTACTATTGTTTAAAAACTAATTTACTACAGTCATGTTAGCTGGTTCTATTTCAAGTACAGGCAATTAGCAGTTTGGCATCGTATTGTACCAGTTTTCAAACGGTACATTGCTAGTACCAGAATTCCAAGACCACATTTATCTGCCCGTAACACATTTGCTAAAATTCCTAATGGACAATCAAATGCTTTAACACCAAGATCAAGTTTTATATGGAGACTATTATAAAGGGCAATAAATTGAATGTTAATGTTTGGATGGGCTGTAAATTGCTAACCTCTTCCCACCTGCCCCAGAATGTAAAGGGTTAAAAGTTTTGAAAACGCATTTATTTATTCACCCAATGTAGAGCGTGAGGATGTCCTGTGTCAGTTAGGCAGCCTGGAATCCAGCAAACTCTGGGAAGCACCTCTAGAAGCTGTCTTAGTACTACTGTGTAATGTAACATTTCTCAAAAACTGCAAAGTTTTACATTGCAGGACTAAGTGTGGAGAGGGACACTGCACCCAGACCACTTCAATGAGCTGAAGTGGTCTGGGTGCCTACAGTGTCCTATTGAACATGTGGGACAGTCTTTGAAAACAAAGGTTGGATTTTACTTTGCCTGCTATATAATTTAGCAGAAATGTGGCCAAAGTCAGTGCATCAAACTGCAGCAAATACATGCTTTATCAAATCTACCCAGCTCTGCCCTGAATTATTGGCATGAGATTGCCACCATTTTGGAGACAAAACTCTCATCTAACTGTGTTACACTACATGGTTTTTAATACAGGGGAAAAAAACACCAAAAACGTAAGGGCTACTGGTAGGTTTTAATTCCACCTTTGATAGCTTTTTGTTTTTAGCAAATTTGTCGAGTAAAATATCTCCCCTGATCAATTTGGCCTTGGCATGGCTGGAATTGTTGCTTGCGTAAATCATCACAACATAACTCTGCTAGGAGTTTCTACTTGTCAGCAGATCTGTGGCAGATTAACGAAAGCTTTCATTTGTTTAAAATAAATCAAGTAAACACTTTAAAAACCCAGGATCCCACAATGCAACAAATGTATAATCTGATCTGAGTGTTCTAATCTGATTTTTTTCTTTTTCTTTTTTCTGTGACCAAAAAAATGAGACCCTTTGCTTCAAGTGGAAATTGTACTGTAAAATGTCAAGTGTAATTATTTGAAACTTGTTTGGTTACTATTACTTACAAGTTAAGGTAAAAGTTATAAAAGCTCTACAGCTTTTTTTTTTTTTGTGGCTGTTGAACCTTTACTGCAAAAGTAATTAAAGAAACCCTATAGTGTCAGGAAAACAAACATTCCTGACACTTAAGTGATTAACTATTTAGGTCCCCAGCCCTCTTTAAATTGCATGGGAAAGGTGATTTTACTCACCTTTTCTCACATGCAGCACCAGTCTTGCCATAGCTGACTCCGCCTCTATTCCTGAGATTATCAATCTTGATGATGATCTCCGTCAATCTAATGCTTTCTCATAGGAAAGCATTGTGAGGCTATTGTGCATGGACCACTAAACGCCGCGCCAGTCAGCATTTCCTCATAGAGATGCATTGAATCAATGGTCTCTATAGGGAATGTTCAGCAGATCATTAAAGGGCATGGAGACTCTGAACTCCAGTGCTGCACACTGTGCAGCCCTGGACTAGTAAGCACCTTTAATAAAAGGCAGTGTTTACAGTGCTCAGCCTGCAAGGGCAGGGTATAGACACCAGAACAACTACATTAAGCTGTAGTTGCTCTGGTGACTATGTGGGGTAGGGGGATCTGTTCGTGTGTGTGTTCGTGTTCTCAATTATTTAAACTGGCAGATGTTTTTAAACCCTGTACTTCGTGGTTGATGTGAACCATGAATGGATCGTCTGCCACCATGTTAATCCAGCCCTTTACTAAGAGAGGGAGACTGCCTATGTGCAACTCACATTATTCACTAACAGACAGACATATCTATATCCTTGTGCTGCTATGAGATTAAAGGTTTAGTTACTTTAAGCACCATTACAACTTAAAGGGACACTATAGTCTTCAAAATAACGTTATCTTAATGAATGTAGAGATCATGCAACTGCAGTCTCACTGCTCAATTCTCTGCCATGTAGGAGTTAAATTACTTTGTTTATGTAGCCATAATCACACCTCTCTGCGCGTGACTTACATAGCCTTCCTAAATACTTCACATAAAGTCATCTAATGTTTAGATTTCCTTTTATTTCAAATTCTGTTTAATTTATAATTTCTTATTTCCTGCTCAGTTATTAACTTGCCATGTAATTAAAGTTAAATTTACAAAGCAGAAATACTTTTAAATTAAATTACATATGATTGAAAATGAAACCATTTTGTTTTCATCCAGGCTGTGTCAATCACAGCCATGGGAGGTGTGGCTAGGGCTGCATAAACAGAAACTAAAGTGATTTAATTCATGAATGGCAGAGATTTGAGCAGTGAAACTTCAGAGGCATTATCTATACACACACAAACTGATTCATTAAACTAAACTTGTTTTGGTGACTACAGTGTCCCTTTAAGCTTTGTGCAGGGGCCTTATATCTGCAGCCCTTTTTCTTGAAATGCTGCCAGTTACAAGACATATAATTATACTACTTTTAACTTGCAGTTTATGTCATTATTACATTCTTCCTATAGATTGATGTCTTGTTTTGGATCGACAGATGCCAGAGGTATTTTTTTACAGTATGTATATTTAAATTAAAAATATATACATCGGGCATCTGTCAATCTATAGGAAGAATGTAATAATACACAAACTGTAAGTTAAAAGTGCAGTTTATTCAGATTACTAGAGTCATTGACCGTATACATTATATGAACATTTATATGGCACAAGTAGAGGAGATGGTGCAAGCGGATAAATGAGAAAAGGGTGGAACGCTATGTAATTATTTTATGTTCTTTTACTCCAAGATATTATTTGATTAGCAAAGCTTTCCAGCTTTTAATGTCTCACTTATGGGGGAAAATATAATGAACATAATGTCTTAACTAACAAAAAGTAAATGTTCTTTTTTATTTTTCCTCTCTTTTTTTTCTTTTATGTCCACAGTACTCTTACCTGCTCACTAGTCAGCTGGAATCTCAGCGCATCTACTGGGAAAATAAGATTGTCCGTTTAGAAAAGGATACAGCAGAAGAAGTAAGTCACAAGTCTGATGTACTTTACCTTTGACTTTGATGCTGTGCTAGTAGCACTGGGCAAGATAAGTAAAAGCAGCAGAGGGGGTTAATATGCTAATGTACAGTTAACCCCTTAAGGACCAAACTTCTGGAATAAAAGGGAATCATGACATGTCACACATGTCATGTGTCCTTAAGGGGTTAAAGCAGATTAGTTATTTTTGCCCACTTCCTAAATTGCACCAATAACCGTAAATGGTTTCATATAAGCAATGGAAAGTGCTAATCTGTTTACTCTTTTATTTCACATTTGTCCATATTGCTATCATTTGAGGTTGTCCTAGAGATCCATAAACTTATCCCTGAATGGCACATTATTTAAAAAAACAAAAGTGGAAGTTTAGTTCAATTCGATGTTACAGAGAGAAATTTAAAACTTCTTGTAATCTAAAATTAGTGTAATAATACTGACATTTCCTTGTTCTCTGATCTTCTTGAAAATATTTTTTTGTTTTTTTGTTTTAGAATTGGAACTACAAACACAAAGCTTTTTATTACAGTATATACTCGAGTATAAGTCTAGTTTTTCAGCACATTTTTTGTGCTTAAAAACCCCCACTCGACTTATACTCGAGTCACTGTCTGTATTATGGCAGAGTGTGTGTATATAATGCAGAGTCTGTGTTTATATGAGTGTGTGTGTGTATATAATGCAGAATGTGTGTTTGTATGAGTGTGTGTGTATATAATGCAGTGTGTGTGTTTGTATGAGTGTGTGTGTATATAATTATAAAAATCACAGAATTTCATAGCCCCAAGTTTTACCCTCGACTTATCCACGAGGCATAGCATATTTCACAATTGTTGGTCACAAAACTGCACTCGACTTATACATGAGATCGACTTATACACGAGTATATACGGTATCTGCATTTTGATCGTTTTTACCTGCTTCAAATTTAGACATCTAATTCCCTTCATTCCCTTGTTGTGAGGTTTGCTTCTGAAATAAGTTAATATAAAAAAAAAGAAATATATAAACACACATTTCCAAATACTGGTCATGTTTACTGATGGTATGCACACGTTTTTATGTATTTTATTTTGTGTGAGCTGGTTTTTTTTTTTTTTTTCTCCCTCCTGCAACATAAACTTAAACACACACACACACTCCACTCCCACCCCGGAGGATAGCAACATCTAAGTACCTCCAGTGACTCAGACAGACATGTAATGAAGAACAAGGTCCAAGCCAACCACACATATGCCTTACCAGTCATCAGTTATCCAGCTGGAATAACAACCTGACCAAGAGAAGAGCTGGTCATCATGGATGTCAAGACCCAAAAATTACTCGCTATGAATGGTTGAGTATTTTACCTGAAATCCGGCACTCAGAGACTGTACACTAACCGGAAGGAGGGAGGGGCCTGAGGAGTGTCAAGGACACAGTCCTGGATAAAACACAGAGCATCCACAAGTACATCACGAAGATGGCTCCCAAAGATGAACTGCTAAGGGAATGCCCGAGGAAACAGAGGATGCAGAAAAGGAGGAACTTCCATGGCAAAACAAACCTTTCCATGGAGTGTACCATCGGCAGATAGTGGATGTGGCTCACATAATGAAATCCTACAAAGGGTTGGAAAATGCAGGACTAAAAGACAGGACTGAGGCACTAATCTTTGCGACACAAGAACAGACACTTCGCACCAGATCAATAGAAGCGGCGGTCTACCAGACAAAATTGTAGGTGGAGGCCTCTGAGGCAATGCAGCACATAATAGCCATGTGTAAGAAGTCAGCAGGGACAGCATACACAGAGAGGCACAACCAAGTTGTTGGGAATGTGTTCCGAAATATCTGTACTTAATATGGTCTGGACCTGCCTACGTCCAGAAGGTAGATGCCACAAAGGTTAAGAAATGCAGGGCTAAGACCCTGTGGGACTTTCAAATTCAGGCAGACAAGCAAGTAGTGGGCAACCTACCTGAGGTGTGGTGATAGTCAAAGAAAAAAAGACTGCAATGGTGGTGGATGTGTCAATGCCCAGTGACCATAACATCAAAAAGAAGTATCAACAGAAGGTGGACAAATACCAAGGACTTAAAGTTTAGCTAGAAAGGATAAGGAAAGTAAAGGCAGCAGTAGTCCTAAATGTGATGAGAGCACTCTGGGCTGTTACCCCCAAGTTGGGGGAGTGGCTTCAGCAGAATCCAGGTGGAACAGCTGTCCAAAAGATTTTGCACAGAACCCTCAGACTCCCAGGCCTCTGGTAGAGGGTCTGAGAATGAGGTATACACAAAAATTACTAGCTAGAGGACACATACACATAAGGTGGGACACCGTCCAGAGTAGGATTTGATAAGTAAATAACGAATTTGCTAGTAGTCACTTTTTGTTGTTGTTGCAGCTGCATATTATTACTTTATTTATAACTGTGAGTCTTAGGAGATTCTTGATGGGTAATTTCATGAAGGAACAACAAATAAAAAATAGTGGAATTTTATTTTCAAAATGACAACTGTTTGGCAAGTGGGTAATTTCAAGAAATTCCCAGAAAAATTGGCCCGAACTTTCAGCTCTTGATTACTTCCTGTGAGGATATCTGAAGGAGCAGGTGTACGTGAACAAACCAGCTTAATGAGAATATCTGGTTAGAAATCCAGGCGCTACATCTTCACACATTAACTAATGTTATGGACACTGCAATCGAAAGGGCCAACTTTGCGAGGCGGCAAATGGAGCTCATGTTAAAAGATGTCACCTAGTCTTCCGTACCTAGTCAAACAAATCTCCATATACATTCTTTTAGTTTGCATTTTTTTTAAAACTAACATTTTGGTTCCTTGTTTTTGGTTTGTTTGTTTTTTTAGTTTGAGATGTTGTCCCATGTAGCTTAACCCTCATCATTTGTTAATAGCCATAACACAGCTCATCATCATCATCTTTGTATATGTGTTACCCTAATTTCATCACTATACTTGCCCAACAGAAAAATCCACATCAGCGGTATAAATACAGGAATTGCTGAAATGGATGTAAATGAAAAATAAGAACGATTAAATGCCTATTATTTCAATCATGTTACATAGGCCTGGATATGTGAATCTTAACTGTATCTGTATGTTGGGTTACATTAAAACTGGCTGATACTCTCCTAAACATAATTTAACATTTGTTAATTATATATGGTAAGGCTTTTCATAGAACATTGTTACATTAAAAGGTTAAATTAAATTGCACTCTCAGTTGATTGTTTTGTAATCTTAAAGTCCCATCTTCAACCTACAGGAGGTGCATTTGTGTGTAGTTGTGTGGTTTCCATATAGATGCCTGTAATCTGCCCATAACATTTATAAGCACTGTCCTCAGATGAGTCCTGTGGCTTCCTGATAGTGGTATCTAGATTGTGCACTGGTGTATTGCCCATGATATCCTCACCCTTTGGCAATGTATTTCTCTACAGGATGTTCCTGCACTGATAGGATTAACCCTTACAGACATAACACAGCAGGGACTTTTAAACATACTTGCAATCAATATAAAGGGCAGCCCTATTGAGCTTGTTGCTCTAAAATATCACTGCTTGCAGTGAGCAACTGTAACTCAAGAGGGAGATCAGCCCATTGTAAGCACACATTTATACATGCAAGGAGAGATATGTGGAAGGTTCAGGGGTTTTGTATACGTGTGTGTAATTCCCTTATCATTTAGCTTTTGAGATCGGTTAATACACCAACTGAAGAACCTGTTCACACTTCAACTCAATGGTTTGATTTCCACCAAGGACCTCTCATTCTTTCTGTTGAAGTGTCATTAAAATTGTCTGTATAATCTAAGACATATTTGAAAAAGAAGGAAAATATCTTATTGTATATTTTGTGGCAAATTAAATATTAACGATTATCTTCTATTTCTAGATTAATAATATGAAGGCTAAGTTCAAGGAGACCATAGACAAGTGTGACAACCTGGAGCACAGACTAAATGACTTGCTCAAAGAAAAACAAGCTTCAGAACGGAGGTACTTGAACATTGCCATACAAAAGGCTTTAGAGATTATGTGGTCTATAAAAAGAAATTAATAGTTTAAGATTTTCATCACTATTGCTATCGAAGTTAATATTGCCATCGAAGTTAATATTGTAGAGTTTGCCAAGTTTTCATTGATTTATTTTTAAAAGACCATTCCTTGTACCATAATGACTACAAAGAGTTGTGCTGGTGCCTTGGTTCCCCTCAGTAGACAAACCATTTCTACAACAGTTTGAAATGTTTATGCAGCCCATCTCCACTACACGCTCCACTTTTGGGGGAAGTTTTTTTCTGAGCAAAGCCTGGCATTTTAATCAGCTCATTGGCTGAGTGAGGTCAGCTTACTCTGTTATTGCTAGTCTTGCACTGCAGGGCTTACCTCGAGCGCTGACAGGAGTTCCTAAATACCAAAGGAAAAAAAGTTACCTGCACACTTCCCAAATCCCTATGCATATTTAAATATTTAGTAACTCCAATGGCCATTAGATGCAAGCCCACCTGCCACATCAAGGCAAACCACTCAGGTGGGTCCTACACTAACCAGTCACCTTGCTTCCTCGAGCTTCAGGCAAAGAAATCTCTAATGAGCCAGAGAGTTTTTTATTTTTCGAAACCCCTACATAGTTATTAACCCTTAACAGGGAACACATGGGATGGGCGGCAGCATTGTAACATGGCTGCGTGATACAAAAGCAAAAACAAATACACAAAAATAAGTCCACAAAAATAAGTCCTGCGCTAAAACTCCCACTACTCCTGGGCAGCAGCAACCACCACAGTACCCAACAGCCCCAAAACACTTCTCACAGAAGCCTGTCATTTGAACTATTGCCGGCTCAGAGCGCATACGTGCACTCCAGGCCAGCGAGGGGAGGGTTTAAAATAAACTGGGGGAACTTCCCGAAACAAAATGAGGGTTGGAGATGTAAAATATGGATAGAATTCACATAAGGCAGCCTGAATTATAGTTCCAGGTTGCCAATGTCATGTGTGCTGGGGGTGCAACAAGCCTCCAGCACACATGGATTTTGTTTTTGCAAAAAAACATTTTGATAGGTTTGACGAAAAAGGTCAAATGAGTAAAAAAAAAAAAAAAAAATGTATGTTTGGTTTTGGTACCTAATATTCAATGCAACAAAATTAGCTTTTTATTCATGTTAGTGTGTTTCCACTGTATAAAATTATTCATACAAACATGAAAATCATCACTGTGTAATTAAACCAGGCCAATAAACACAGCATCTATTGGGATTTATTTTTACAAAAGGGTTTTACCCAGTACCTGCAACTTTTATGGGTGCATTCCTATCTTTTATATTGCATTTATATAATGCTTAAAATAAATCTGCCGGTCTTTGCACCAAATCCTCTGCTTCCAGGCTGCAGAAACCTCTACCCAAACTCCGATATTGCCAACACTTGTTAGCCATTTTCTGTAATGCTTGTTGACCCTGACATCTTCTGTTTTTCTCTCCCCTATAATTTAAAGGTGCACCCAGCTAAATGCCAAAGTAACCAAACTCACTTCTGAATTGAAAGAGGAGCAAGAAATGAACAAATGCCTACGAGCCAATCAAGCGGTTCTCCAAACCAAACTTCGGGAAGAGGAGAACCTACGGAAAGAAACCTGCGAACAGAAGGACGGGCAGCTAATGGAAATGCAGGAGCAGCTACGTGATGTAATGTTCTATTTAGAGGCACAGCAGAAAATTAACCAAATGCCTGTAGACACCAGACAGGATATTCAGGGAGGCCAGATCAATATACCAGTGGCATCATCTAGTTCTCCTCCATCATCTACAAGGCATCCATCCCGGAAAGGGCGTGGAAAAAGAGGAAAATAATCCAAAATCTCATCACACTGGTTATCTAAATATGGTCTTCAGACCGCTATATGGCCTGCTTAAATTAATAAATTATTTTCAGTGGGCATGCATTTAACCAGTAAAGATTCACCCGTTTAATTGCTGGAGATGTGTGAAAATTCTTAAACATCTTCAATAGCAGATTTTGAGCACAGTTCTATCCAGTTTTGTAGTTTTAAATCCTTTGTCATTAGGATGCTGGAGCTTGTAGTACGGGATCTTCGCGAAAGCTGGTTTTATTTCGCTGCCAGAGGTGCCTATCACTAGCAGACACTCTGTGAGAGTGAAAGAGTTAAGGTTTCCATTAAAACATGGATTCCCAAATATTTCCTTAAGTGTAAAAAAAAAAAAAAAAAAACTAATAATTTTGGAAATTCCTGAGTTACATAGAAAATCTAGCTCGTTTCATGTTTGTAAGTGTGCAGTGGTTTGCATACTTCTAACATTATTACTTCATGTTTTTTTTTGTGTTTTCTTTAAAGGTACTTGTAATCTGGTAAGGGTATTTAAATCATGAGCAGTACAATCAGGTTTGTTCTGATAAAAGACTGAAAGAAGCTCTAATAGCCATTAATTGTTTTTTGCTGTTCTACACATTTGTGACAACCCTCGTCAATATTTAAATGCCATTATTTAGAGCACACTTGGCACTTTGTAAATGTTTGTAGGTAAACTCACAAAACTGCAAGGCATACTTTTCGTCCTGATTATATGGGAGGTTTTAAGGTTCTCCTTTGGACAGTAAAGAACATTTACAGAGTTTAATGTAGCACCTGTTATACTTTGTGCTTAAGCCTTTGAGTACCAAACAAGAGTGCTTTGCAATGTTACATGACCCTCTAGTGCTCTGCAGGTTTAATTACTTATTTACATACTTGTTATAAGTTCGTTTTAGGTTAATGAAGCCTTGTAATACTCCTGTCAGTGAGTATGTGAGAACATATATTCCCAGCCACTGTAGTGTCTTGGTAGTACATTATTTACAATATCCGTTCATCCAGTCTGATCATCAATGTTCCAGCTATATCGAAGTGAATTGTGCAAATGCTGAACTGTCTCACTTTATAACTATACAATTCCTTAGCTTTTCCAGTTCTAATTTTCTTGCTGAATACCTTCTGTAAAATGATGTACAGAAATTGTGCATGAAGACATCTTTATTTCTTTTAATAAGTACAGTTTTTCACTTGGTGTACTATTTATGAATTAAAATGAAAAAAAAAATGCTTAAAGGTTTCAATTTTGTATAATTTTTTTTTTTTTTTTTTTACTTTTTCTTTTTTTACCCGAAAGATTCATCCTGTTTATTTTCTATATCTCAGAAATGAATATTCCAGTCTATAGGAGAATTTGAATTTATTTGATAACTTTTTCCTATGTTTGATTTTGTCTTTCAAGTGATACTATTACTTAATGAAGGTGATTGCTCTGCACTCCGCCCAATAAACACTGTTGAAGCGGTCACTGAGTGGAGTTGTGCCCATTAACAAGCAAGAAAAATATTTCCCATTGACACTTTCATGTTTAGAGTGAAATTGTCACCCCACCATGTTCCAGGGGCTGTCATGCACATTCACACCTCTATAGAGAATTGCTGTATAAGCATGTTGGCACTCGGTCGTTCCTTCAGTGTCACTGTACACTCACACAGCAGTGCTAGGGTTCTTTTAATTTTCATAACATCCCATCTGCTTTTTAGGTAGAGTGCCAGAAATTGCACCATCAAGACAATGTCCAGCCACGTTAAAGCAATTCTGTCACTAATTTGGTGCCCAACCCAGGGATGCCTCTCTATAGCCCCCGCAAACGTTTATGGCTCTGTAACCAGTCCAGCTTACCACTTTCAATTTTGTGCTGATTTTCTGTCCCTTTGCTGTCATCTTTGTGTTAAAGATGGCAGCGGTTGGAAATTCCATGTTCTTCCCTTACTTGGGCATGTGCATCAAATGGTACGTAACACCCTAATGCTTCCAGTAGACCTGTGTTGACTTTTGTGAATAGTCTCTCTTTTTCCTGATGCCTTACTAAAAAGCAGCATATGGGAAAAATTTGGGATAGTAGGTATCCTAGCATCATACATCAAGGGTATGCCCAGCTGTTGGGATAACTTCATTGTATGCTAAGCTGACCCCCTGCACTGAACAAGTAATAACTCACCCACATGTGTGTGTTTTGTACACAAAGTGCTCATTGTATGATTGGCTGTTTTGAATAATGGACTTTCTTTAAAAATTGTCTCCTCACAGCAGCTACTTGTTTTATCTTATACAGGGAGTGCAGAATTATTAGGCAAATGAGTATTTTGACCACATCATCCTCTTTATGCATGTTGTCTTACTCCAAGCTGTATAGGCTCGAAAGCCTACTACCAATTAAGCATATTAGGTGATGTGCATCTCTGTAATGAGAAGGGGTGTGGTCTAATGACATCAACACCCTATATCAGGTGTGCATAATTATTAGGCAACTTCCTTTCCTTTGGCAAAATGGGTCAAAAGAAGGACTTGACAGGCTCAGAAAAGTCAAAAATAGTGAGATATCTTGCAGAGGGATGCAGCACTCTTAAAATTGCAAAGCTTCTGAAGCGTGATCATCGAACAATCAAGCGTTTCATTCAAAATAGTCAACAGGGTCGCAAGAAGCGTGTGGAAAAACCAAGGCGCAAAATAACTGCCCATGAACTGAGAAAAGTCAAGCGTGCAGCTGCCACGATGCCACTTGCCACCAGTTTGGCCATATTTCAGAGCTGCAACATCACTGGAGTGCCCAAAAGCACAAGGTGTGCAATACTCAGAGACATGGCCAAGGTAAGAAAGGCTGAAAGACGACCACCACTGAACAAGACACACAAGCTGAAACGTCAAGACTGGGCCAAGAAATATCTCAAGACTGATTTTTCTAAGGTTTTATGGACTGATGAAATGAGAGTGAGTCTTGATGGGCCAGATGGATGGGCCCGTGGCTGGATTGGTAAAGGGCAGAGAGCTCCAGTCCGACTCAGACGCCAGCAAGGTGGAGGTGGAGTACTGGTTTGGGCTGGTATCATCAAAGATGAGCTTGTGGGGCCTTTTCGGGTTGAGGATGGAGTCAAGCTCAACTCCCAGTCCTACTGCCAGTTCCTGGAAGACACCTTCTTCAAGCAGTGGTACAGGAAGAAGTCTGCATCCTTCAAGAAAAACATGATTTTCATGCAGGACAATGCTCCATCACACGCGTCCAAGTACTCCACAGCGTGGCTGGCAAGAAAGGGTATAAAAGAAGAAAATCTAATGACATGGCCTCCTTGTTCACCTGATCTGAACCCCATTGAGAACCTGTGGTCCATCATCAAATGTGAGATTTACAAGGAGGGAAAACAGTACACCTCTCTGAACAGTGTCTGGGAGGCTGTGGTTGCTGCTGCACGCAATGTTGATGGTGAACAGATCAAAACACTGACAGAATCCATGGATGGCAGGCTTTTGAGTGTCCTTGCAAAGAAAGGTGGCTATATTGGTCACTGATTTGTTTTTGTTTTGTTTTTGAATGTCAGAAATGTATATTTGTGAATGTTGAGATGTTATATTGGTTTCACTGGTAATAATAAATAATTGAAATGGGTATATATTTGTTTTTTGTTAAGTTGCCTAATAATTATGCACAGTAATAGTCACCTGCACACACAGATTGTAAGAATATTAAATAGTTAACTTGTTTATATGTATTTTATGCTTTTATAAGGTTTATAACATGATTATTGCTGACTGAAGGGATATTGAATACTTAAAGTCAATATGCTGACTGTGACAGACTAAGGTATTTCTTCTATAGGATGTAAGACAATGCTAAATTTCAGGATGTCTTGCCCATTCCGATTTTAAGGATATTCTTTTCCAGACGTATGCAAAAGCTTATCTTTCCATTGTCAGAATAACGTAATATAAGGAAGTAATAAATCTTATAGTCTGTACTGTATTTGCATATACCATGGCTAATGTAAGCAAACTATGTATAAAAGCCAGCTCTGGAATACACTCATTTGAGAGTCTTGTAAAGCTGTTGTCCGTGTGTTATTGCTTACAAATGATTCTCCATCAACGTTGATTATGGTGACCGAGGGATCGAGAACCGAGGGGATTAGAGTCCATTACAACATTAACCCTTTCAGCTTGGTGTCTAGAAGTGGGATAGAAGTTGGATCAGCAAAACCATTGCGGTGAGTAGCCTTTTTGTGTCTTATTTGACGCTGATTGTCTATGACCCCCTTTGGTTCAGTAAGACTGTATCCAGTAGATAGGAAAGGTGTAAGGACTCTAGTTATATTGAGACTGTAAGAGGTCTCCGGTTTATTAGACATTTGGTCTAAATATATAGGGTTTTGGTAACCCAGGTTAGTATCTAAGATAGATACAGGGTATCTCAGGTAGATACAGGTTTTGAGACCATAAGAGGTCTCCGGTTTATTATAGGGTTTTGGTAACCCAGGTTAGTATCTAAGATAGATACAGGGTATCTCAGGTAGATACAGGTTTTGAGACCATAAGAGGTCTCCGGTTTATTAAGTCTATAGGTGTTCTGAGCAGCATGGTTTGTAGATCTTTAAGTATAACCCAAACTTCTCTTTCTCCCGGTCACCTTTGTTTGTCTTAAGTGTTTTTTGTGGGTGATTGATTGTCTATATTGGGGACACACTTTGGTAAGTTAGTAGTGTCCCCACTCTGAATCAGCAGTATGGGAAATGTGAGTTCAGGTCCTGAGTGACCAATATGTGTATGTATATATGTGTATATGTATGTATATATGTGTGTGTATATGTATATGTGTATATATAAGATAGCAGTACTTTTAAACAAATGGAGGTTTTAAAAATACATAGGGATTAAGGAGAGAACGCAGGTAACTTGTTTTTCTTTGGTTTTTACCATATATTGGGGCTGATGTGTACTGTAGTCCTTGCTGCTGCCCAGTAGTGATGGGAGTGAGCGCAGGACTTATCTTTCTGCAAGATAGCAGTACTGTATATTAGAAAAGAAATGACTCATAGGTTGTACCTGATAGACCTACTTAAATCTTTTTGCTTTATTCTTTCTGTCGCATAGAAGTATAAGTTTATTACTCTGTTTTATTGTAAGTTATTTCACATGGGAACTGTGTGCCTGGTATGATTGTTGCTTTAAAAATACTATAAGCCCACTACACTTATTATGAGAGTGGGATAGTGTAAATGTGTTGCATTGTTTGCATGATGAGCTCAGTATATTTTATAACTGAGACAAAAAGTCACTTCATTAGTATTTGAAAGTTAATTCCCCGTATGGGATTAATTGTATAGAAACACCAATCAGCACATCTTCCATGCCCTGTGTGTTTGTTGCAAAAGATCCATACTGTAAATATGATTTTTGTTTGAAAATAACAGAGCAACATTTACATTTTCAGCGGTCTAACACATGCTTTATTTTGCACTGTAAACTAACCTTTTTATTGCAACAGGTTCCTTTTAAATGATCCAGTGTAATAACTACTGCTTGTGTCTTCTATGTCTCACATTATGTGTTATTTTAAATTGTGGTATATAGCCTGAATCAGACATCATGGACAAAGGTTTTTACCTGTATTACAAAGGGCTCTTGGAGACTGACCGGTCTAAAGGTTTGCCATGCCTTTAAAACATGGTATAGTATAAATTTTTTAAGTCTCTGAGAGTTCTGAAAGATTCAGGTGAAACCATGTCTGTTTAATCTGGTCCAGATGTTTGTTCAATTTCTATAGGATTTAAGTTGATGCAGCATCATCTCAGATTAGTTAATGGAAGTTTTATACAAATAGTTGAGTTATGAGCGCGCTATATAAATGGATCCTTTCTTTATATATAATACTATAGTAGATTAAAGTAATGAAGTTAATTAAGAAAATGTATACATAAGAATCCCTAAAATAAATCTAAACTAAAATTGGTATACCTTCCAATAATATGTTCTGAATACAGCTGTTAACTGTTTATTCTGTGTAAATGGTGATTGTGATAATGTGTGATAAGTGTGCAGTTAAACTTGAAAGTGGTTTAATTTATATGTTGCTGTGTTGTTTTAAATTATATGTGAATCAGTTTGTCACAGTCTAGTGATACTGATAAGAATGACAGCCAAATAACCTAGCAAATAACTGTTTTATTAGTTGTTGAATACTAGCGTTTTGGCCAAGAATAGTTGGAGATTTGGAGGTGTTAGTTTAAGATTGCTTTTATATTGTGTCTATCTGTGTTTCCTAGGAGGGAGACAGAGTGTGTAGTTGTGTGCCCATAAATGTGATTTCTGTATTGGCATATCTGCTGGGTACCCATTATGTGTTTCTACAAAGATATTGTTTTATGAGATGACTAATATTACATGGGATGCTGAGTATGAGTTATATGGTTTGAAATGAATTGGTGATTATGAGCTTAGTACTTCAGTAAGATGTGCTAATATTTGGAACAAGGTGGAAGCTGAAATGTTGGGATTATGGAAGAATAAGCAGTCTATATTCACTGCTTTGGCATATAAGCAAGATGCAAAGGAAGAGATTGGTAATATGATTTTTGTAAAGAAATTTTACAAGTGTTGGAAGGATGAGGCAGGTTTGATGTCTGGAGATGATATAGATCTCTTTAAAATACAGTCATGCCTTGGTAATATGTTGCCACAGTATTATTTGCTTGTGAAACAATTGATTTCAGACTGGGCCAATTTGGATAGCTCAGATTTTCTTACCAAGGTTATAGAAAAGGAAAATGCAGGTTGTTTTGAATTAAGAAAAGATTTAGGAAAGTAAGGTTGCTTATTATGCTCAGGGATTGCAACATATTATGTCCAGCTACACAGGCTGAGAGCGTGGATGGGATGGAGCACATAAAGCCTGTGGAAAGGGGTGGTCAAAGAGGGGCAAGGGGATGGAGACAGGGAAATCAGGGTTATAGGGGTAACCAAGGAGGAATAGACAGGAACACTTGTTTCAACTGTGGCCAATATGGCCACTGGAGGAATGAGTGTCCACACCCCAGGAAACCCCACACACCCCAACAACCCCACAATTCTCAAAATATGCCCTGTAGGCAAGAACAACAC